TCATCTTGCTGGTTTCAGCATAGGCCCTAGGACCCCACAGGAATTCATAGCGGGCAGGATCACTGTTGGGCACCTGCCGGTACTCCAGGTACTTCTCCTGCACCCAGTCACTGGTGATGAGCTTTCGGGGCTCCCCATAAATTAAGTGCTCCTCCCCAGCATATATGCCAATTACACTCAGAGTTTTCCAGATCTTCTGCTCATGGGCAGAGTGGCCCTCAAGGAAGATTATGCTCAGGACAAATATCAGAAGGCCCATCTTCGGCAGACCCTGATCATCATTCAACGTTGCACCTAATGTGAGGCCTAGAGTGTTGACAAGGACATAGGAGTGGCCGATAGGGTCCACTTCCTTCACGTCAACACCAAAGACCAACTGCACGCATTCTGAGGCCTTCCTGAATATCACAGGGAAGTGCTCCTGGTACTCTTTCATGACAAGGGCCAGCATTTCCGCCCTTGTGAAGAGCTCTTTCGTTTGATACTTGAGGAGCAGGAACTGCACCAAATCAGCCACCTGATCATCTAGTGCATCTCTGAGCAAGGCCTCAGCATATGGCGGGCCCTGTGAAATGCTGGGACCCTCCTTGGGGCTGCTGGAGCCCTCAGCTGAGTTGCTGGACAGATTGGCTGAAACGGCAGCAGAGGGGGAGCAGGGTATCTGGGGACTATGGGAAGGACTGGTTGTGCTAATAGCAGAAACCTCCTCTGGGGTGCCTGAGATCAGAGGATAGCAGGAGGAGGAGGGAGAGGACAAGGGGAAAGAGGGGGAGCAGGTGGAGGAGGAGGAGGAGACCTCCTCCTCAGGCACGACAACCTGTGCCCCCTCCTGGCCCTGGGCCTCACTTTGGCGCTGAAGGCCTTGCTCAAGCGTGTTTCGCCGATGCTTTGATGGACGACGAGGCATGATGACTCTTGTTTAGGACAACAGGCAGAAGGGTGGGCAGTGGCTGCCTGTGGGAGAGAGGGGGGGGGGAGAGCGTGAGCAGCCCCAGCTGAGAAATTCACCTTGGCGGCTCTGACAAAGGCCAACTTACAGGTCTTCTCCAAGGCCTTACAGGTCTCCTGTCCTCCTGTTGGTCTGTCCTCTGAGACCCTGAAGGAGAAAGTGACACAGCCCCTTAGGGTGCATCCAGAGCTTCCCAGGCTGAAAGTGGAGTGCATGGAGTCGGGGCTGTGGGGT